TTTCTTAATTTTATTCATTGTCTTTTTTTTTTTTTTTTTTTTTGAAGTTCACCAAAGAGAGAGAAGGAAAGTGAGAAAGCAAGCTGCCAGCTCTGGGACTTGAACCATGGTCAGCCATATGGGAGTTATGCGAACTGCTGGTCCCACCATGTGGTTTTTCTGTAGAACCAGGAAAGGAAGACTCCAAACTCCTGTGGCGACCTGTCAGAGTAGATCCCTCATCCCTTACGGGCGCTGTCCCCTCTTCTCCCACCCAGCTGAACCCCGCGGACGGCGAGAACTTTGCCACCATGGTGGAGATGATGTTCGTGTTCAGCATGATCTGGTCTGTGTGTGCCTCTGTGGACGAGGAGGGCCGCAAGAAGATCGACAGCTACCTGCGCGAGATCGAGGGTTCCTTTCCCAATAAGGTCAGGGAGCTCAAAGCCAGTCGTCCTGTGTGTCCCGTTACTCCAGGGACATCCGCGATCCCAGGCGCTGAGTTACAGCTGGCCGGCCCAGCTCTCTCTCTGCCCAGGGGTCTGTGGTCCCTGGGCCTGGACCGGGGGAGCTGGAGGGAGGCTTTGGTAACCGGACACACGTGCCCTCCTTAGGACACCGCTCGTCCTGTGTGTCCCGTTACTCCAGGGGCATCCGCGATCCCAGGCGCTGAGTTTCAGCCGGCCGGCCCAGCTCTCTCTCTGCCCAGGGGTCTGTGGTCCCTGGGCCTGGACCGGGGGAGCTGGAGGGAGGCTTTGGTAACCGGACACACGTGCCCTCCTTAGGACACCGTGTACGAGTATTTTGTGGACCCCAAGATGCGGAGTTGGACATCATTTGAGAATAAGCTCCCTAAGAGTTGGCGCTACCCTCCTAAGTGAGTGGGACCTGGGATGTGGGCGGGGCTTGGGGCTGCAGCTGCGGGCGCTTGGTGAGAGACGGGCCCTGAAGCACAGCTGAGCTGTAGGGAGGAGGCGGATCCCAGAGAAGGCTGAGTCTTACAAGACCCAGGCTCTAGAGGACTCAGGACAGGGACCTCAAGGGAGCACTTGGCCCCCAGGCCCCACAGGGTTGGGGACTGGACAGTGACGCTGCAAGAGGGTGAGAACAACGGGGAATGAAGTGGGAGGGGGAAGGGGGCGGCCCACGATCCTGAGACTCCGTTCCTTTGCTTCCCAGCGCGCCCTTCTATAAGATCATGGTGCCCACCGTCGACACCATTCGCTACAACTACCTGGTGAGCAACCTGGTGGCCAGACAGAACCCCGTACATGCCGGCCAAGGACACGTTCGGGTCCCAGCCGCCCCTGGAGCTGATTCGCCTCTGGATCGACTATGGCTTCTGGTACGATCGTGTGAAGCAGACCATCAAATACATTCGAGTAAGCACCCCAAGAATTTAGCCTTCAGGCCTCTGTTCCCTCCTGTGGTGGGTTCAGTCCCCCCTCCACCGGGACCCTGGGCTGTGATCCTGTTACCCCGGTTCCTTCCCACGCCAGAGCATCCTGCCCTTTCTCAGGCCTAAGTTACCAACTCCTATCATCACCTCTCCTCACTGACCCTGCCCTACACTCTGTCCAAAGGACTCAGTCCTCCAATGTCCACCCCTTGTCTGGGCCTCTGTGCCATGCCCCCGTGCCAGACTGCCTCTCCCCCTGGACCTGCCTAGGAGCCTGGGGTCTGTGACCGCCACGTCGCTGCCTTCCGTGGCTGCCGTGGCCATCTCCACGGCTTCCATTTTCCCCTCCTGCATGGCTTCAGTTCTCCGCTCCCCCAGAGCCCAGGCATCTCCCTTCAGCCCTGGCTCTTCCCCGGCGGATTCTGAGCATCTTCTTTGTTTTCCTCCATCGATGGGCAGCAGCCATTCCAACCTGATTTCAGGGAAGCCCATCTGTCTGGTACTTGGAATCAAAAAGTCAGTTAATAATATATGTATTTATATGTTTCTGAGAGCTCGCTCTCTCTCACACACACGGTTACATGTATGTATATAGATACATGCATTTTTTTTTTATTACTAGAGGGCATATATGCTCTTCAGAGAGGACAGAGAGACAGAGAGGAAGCACCCCGGATGGCGTGCGATCACAGTCAATCCCTTTTCCTTTTCTCTATCCTGGCAGGTCTTGGCCAAGCATATACATGTGCCCAGACTGTGAGGAGAGGTGATGATAGGAGTTGGTAACTTAGGCCTGAGAAAGGGCAGGATGCTCTGGCGTGGGAAGGAACCGGGGTAACAGGATCACAGCCCAGGGTCCCGGTGGAGGGGGGACTGAACCCACCACAGGAGTCAGCCATGTGTGATCCAGCTTCCTTAACCAGTAGGCTGTAGTGACGCTATATACCATTTTTTAAAAGTTCGTTTATTTATTCCATGGGTGAGAGACACAGAGCCTGAAGGAGACAGAGAGGAGCACCCTCATCGGGTCTTGACGCCTTGATCCCCGCCAGCCGCAGGTGACCTGGGTCACAGGTACCCGCGCCCGCCACACTCAGGGCGGTCTCTGGCCTTGAACCTGCAACCTTCCCATGTGAGTCTGCCTTGCAGAACATGATGTTTTCTGCCATGCTACCGTTTGGTCCTGATATATACAATTTTAAAAGAAAAATAGAGGAAATCTAGAAGATATAATCAAGGTGTTGTTTTTTTAAAGAATTATTTTTAATCGTAATTTTAGTGATTATTATTTTCAACTTGACCAGACAGAGAAGGAAAGTGAGAAAGAAGCCACCAGGTCCAGCACTCGAACCGTACTTGGCCATGTGGAAGTCCAGTGCCCTTGACCACCATACCACTGCTGACCCCAAGATGTTTTTTTTTCACTCAGCTGATTTTCTAGTTTGGGCACATGGATTATAAAGATAAATATTAATAACTCTAACAGACATTTCCCTATCCATCCTTTCCACGCGTCGCTCCCGCTGTTGCTCCGTGTTGCTCCCATTCCCGTCCCTATTGCTCCTCACATCCGACCCATCTGTCCCTCCACGCACTGTCTTCCTCCTGGCTCTCCTACCCGCTCCTGTTTCTGTGCCCACTCCCACTCCCACCCCTGTCTCTCGGCCTCATCCTGTGTTTACTCCTAGGACATGTTCCTGATGGCTGCCATGGGGCCTCCCGGGGGTGGACGAACTGTCATCTCCCCCAGGCTGCAGAGTCGCTTCAATCTTATCAACATGACCTTCCCTACGGTGAGGATGCAGTGGGGGCTGCTGGGGAGGCTGTAGAAGGTAAAACCTCCCAGGCCAACAGTGCAACCCAGTGCTTAAGGGGTCCCCCATGACCAACCACGAAGTTTGAATCCTGGCCCTAATGGCTTGAAAAACACGCTGTGTGTATATGTGCATGCCCCAAATCCCAAAGGCATGGAGAAATGGAGAAGGGACTGCAGTGACCGAGTCCCATTGGGGTGCTTTCTACCTCTCTTTCTCTGTCTCTGGTTAGCACAGATGCCCTCTGGCAAATTAAAAAAGAAAGAAAGAAGGAAAGAAAAGGAAAACAAAGAAGGTAAAACTGCCCCTGTTCCAGAGACTGTGAAGGAGCAGATCAGGAGGCCCCAGGGAGTCTGAGCATGCAGGGAGCTATTCGTATGATGGAAGTGGGAGCCTCTGCGGTCACCTGCACCCAGGAGGGCTTGCACAGAGGGGCTTGCTGGCTCTGCCACGGGAAGCCTTGTCAACCCGAAGTGCAGAGGATGTGGCGAGACCCAAACGGAGTGAGGAAGTAGATGTGACAAAGCCAAGAGCTGACACCAGCTCCAGGGTAGGACAAGGCAAGCAAGATGCTCATCTCAGTGCAGAGTTTAGGGGACCCAAGACAAAACGAACAAACCCCAAAACTCAGCACTTAGGAGAAATAACATTTTAATACAATTTTTTAAAAGGTTTTTGCCATAGGGTGTATGAGTTTGTCAGAGAGATAAATAGAGGGAAAGTGACAAATCATCCCCCAGGGACGATGGCCATGCTGCAATGCCATCTCTTCCATTCTCCTTCTGGGATTTTAAGCACAAACACACGTGTGTCTGGAGTGAGTTTCAGGCCACTGTGTCTGGGCCTTGTACCTCTGTCAGCCATTTGGAAGTCCAGCACCTTATCCACAACGCCACCTGCTGCCCCCTCAAAGCAATATATACATATATATATATATATAT